ATAGCAAGTAGTCTTTTTAAAATTTATGTTAAAGATTTTGCCATATCCTGATGCCATGAAACATTTAAATTGAATAACAGTTCTCTTTTTTTCTGATGCATGCTCACTGAGCAGTCTTCTGATCCTCATTATGGCTTTGCATCCAGCTTGTCTACAAGGACGGAATGCATTTGTGAGAAGATGCAAGGATCTGTTCCTTGTTACTCAGTTTCTTATTGTGTAAATAAGTCAGTTGACATTATGTCTTGTATATCAGTCTCTCCTGAACTCTCTTAGGATAAAGTAGCTTCCAGAATTTGATTGCCCTGGGACACTGGCAGCTGAAGGCCAGACCTTGCCCCTTGGCAGACTGAGCAGAGCAGCCTGTTCTAAGAGGCCCCTTGGCATCCAGTCAACTGCCTTCCAAGACCGCACCCTGAGTTTATTATATAGCTCTTTTTGACTTCCGAAATATTTACTTATGGGCTATTTCTTTGTGTGTTTTTCTCAAGAGGCATTATAAAATGTTTTGTTTGCTTTTTCATCATAAACTTTTTGAAAGGAAAATATAGTCCTTGGACAATTAGAGTTGGGTCTTGACCTTTTTCCCTCCTCATAACTGGCAAACCAATTTGAAAATTCTCTATCAACTACAGATCTGGACAAATTAGAAAGCACTCTTAAATTCCTAGGCATTGTCCTGACTGATTAGGCTCAGTGGATAGAGCGTCAGCCTGCAGACTCGAGGGTCCCGGGTTTGATTCCGGTCAAGGGCATGTACCTTGGTTGCAGGCACATCCCCAGTAGGGGGTGTGCAGGAGGCAGCTGATCGATGTTTCTCTCTCACCGATGTTTCTAACTCTCTATCCCTCTCCCTTCCTCTCTGTGAAAAATCAATAAAATATATATTTTAATAAAAAATAAAATACCTAGGCATTGCTCTGTATTAGAACTTCTGTGCGTCCCCCCCTCCCCACCCCAATGTTTGTTAAAAAATAAAGTAACAGGCACTTTTTAACTAGTGTTTGAAGAGAATTATGTATGAACTCAAATTTTATATGCCTAAAGAAGGCTCCCTAGAATACTATTGCAAATTTTATCCCTTATCACCTTTTTGAGGTTTTAGGGTGAATAGTTACATATTAAAGATGCTGGGAAGTCTTGCAACAAGAAACTTGTTTAATTTTGTATAATCTGCATTTTCTCAAATTATTTGAATTTCTCAACTTCTAATCTATCCTCCCTAGCTTCCTTCCCTGCACTCCAACCTCCAAATCCCAGTTAACAAACAGGGTTTAGGATGTCTGCTAAACAACATTCCTGTTCTATTTTCCTTCTTTGACTTTTCTGCATCTGATCCTGAAACATAGAACATGAGCCCAGTGATTCTGATATTTCCAAAAATGGGTTGATGGTGTTATCACCATAATTAACTAGTTTATCAATATTAATAAGGGAAAAAGAGCAAAGGGAGAGTCAGACATTGTAAGCATAGTCACCAGGCAGCTTCACCAGGAAGCTACAGCTTCACGTTCCCCAGGGAACCACCGGTTCATTCCCTGCAGATCACTGAGGGAAGGGATCGAACAAAGGGGGAGGTGGGCACATGCATAGTGAAGTCGGAATAACATAGGGAAGGTGCTTGCTTGTCAGTCTAGCCTGGGGAACAATGGATTGGCTAGGGGGTGGACCACATCAGAAACACTCAAAATCTTGAATAGTTTAAATCCCTAGACAAAGAATTCCCTCCTTCTTGCTCAAGCTTGGTCTCTTGTTCTCTCTTTTCTGTGACCTGCACTTGCCCATGGGCTCACCTGTTCTCTCTCCAAAGCCAAGTGTCTTTATGCAACCGCATGGCCCATTGCTGTGTGAACACCACAGGCAATGGACTACAGCTGGGAACACAAGCTAAGCTAGCCAGATACTGGATTATACTATACTTTGATATGGAACAGAAATTCTGGGCAGTGGCCTTCATTCTGGCCCTGCTGAAGACAAGATTAGACTTCTTCCATGGCAAGACAGAGAGAGATGGGATCTTGGAGGGAGCCCCCTTAATTTTACATCATCAATAAAGCTTTCCATGAAACTCCATCTTCCTGTGAGGGCCTCAGGAAATTATTTTCCTCACGGCACCCGAAGAACTCCACTTCTACCGATCCTGAAACATAGAATATGAACCCAGTGATTCTGATATTTCCAAAAATGCTTTGATCATTGCCTTT